CAGTCGGCTGCAGGGCCCCGGACGCGGCCGGGCGGGTGGCACCCGCGTCCCCAGCGCCGGCTCTGCCACCCGCCGGCGCTCGGCCCCTCGCGCTGCGCCCGGCGCTGGGGATTTGAGCCCGGTTTATGGCTGTTTATACTAATGCGCAAACCTGTAATTTAGAGGCTYGCTTATAAAGCAGCGTGGCCGAAGGGCTCGGCGCTCGTGCCTCGAGCGCTGGCTCCACGGTTAGAAGACGGGTTTTCCAAAAAATATTAAAGAGAAGTCGCTGAGTTTTTTGCGCTGCTTATGGTGACCAATGGCCAGGGGACGGGTGCTGGGTGCCCCGTGCGCGGCCGGAGGGTTCCGGAGTTTCTGCCTTGTGCCGGCCAGGAGGGCGCCGGGCTGTGCGCGGGGACAAGCGGAGCCTCGCCGGGACTCGACAGGCCTCGAGGCTGTGGAAGGGGCTGTTCCCGGGGTGCCTCGTGCCCGGCCGGGGCTGCAGCACTCATGGGATAACAGGATCGCGGGAATGGGATGGCGGGAATGCGATGGTGGCTCATGCTGTGGTCCCTACTGCCTCTGCCTGGCACGAGGTCACGTTTCAAGCTCAAGGACCTGAGTTTTAGCTGAAATAGGGCTGGCCATGCAGCCTCCAGGCCTTTCCCCCTCCATTTCCTMCCCAAATAAATGGCATCAATGGCAGCAGTCAAGTTCCCACCCTGGGAAAGGCTGTTAGCCACGCAGAGGCTGCCAGAGCATCACATGTGTCCCCGAGCACCAAGAGCCCGGGACCCGCTGCTGCCACCCGCGCAGCCCCCTTGCCGCCTCTCCCGGCGGGCCCAGCGTTTGTCCGCAGGCATTTGACGTTTTCCAGAGCCCTCACTGGTGTTTTGAGGTTATTTTGAGGCRCTTTGGTTCCCCTGGGCGGGCAAGCGGCCTTGTGCGGAGCCTCTGCTCCGCTCTGGGACACGGTGCCAGTGGCGTGGGAGGCCCCACGGCTGCCGGGCAGGTGGGAGCGCCGGGAGGCACCGCTGGCGGCACCGACCGGAGCGGGTCGGGGTGCCGGGCATGGAGGGAGCCCTCGCTGGCCCTCGCTGCCCCTGGCAAGGCCTTTGTGCGGCCGGGCGGGCGCCGCGGGGCCGTGCGCGGCCGGGCGGCCGCTGACCCCGCTGCTCCGGCGCCGCCGTCGCCATGGCTACCGGCCCCGCGGCCTCGGCGCACGCTGTAAATTCCTGCCAGGCCGCGAGCCCCAGGCCGGGGGGAGCGGAGCCGGCGGCGGCGGCGGCGGCGCGGGGGAAATAAAGGAAGAAAGGAAGGAAGGACGAAAGGGCGTTGCTTGGATGGAGCTCTCCTTTCCACTCCCCTTTCGCAGGTCCCCAGCACCAGGGCAAGGCGCCTGCTTCCCCCCCGCCGCCGCCGCGGCTCCCTTGCAGAACTGGAATTGGCTGGGATTATGTAGGAAGGCGAAGAAGGAGAAGGGATCAGAGCAGCCRCCAGAGAGAGGGCGATAGAGGCCACTTTGCTCCGAGTGCCCGGGGGTCTCCGTGCGCCGCTCCGTGCCTCCCTCCCGAGCGGCTCCCTCGCACCCTTCGGGCCGCCCGTGGCGATGGCCGCGAGCGCAGCGCGCCTGGCCGCAGCCTGCGCGCTCCTGCCGCTGCTGCTGCCGCTGCCGCTGCTGCTGCGCCCGCGCGGCGCGCGCGCCGACCACGGCGGCCGAGGTAAGGCAGCCGTCGCCGCGCCTCCCCGCGCCCGCCGCCCCTGCATCTGCCTTTCTTCTCTTCTTTTCCCCTTAACTCTTTCATCAGTTGCATGGCTCTTTTATTTATTTGTCCAGACTCTTTATCTCAAGGAAAAGAGGCTTAAAATTATGGAATGGAAAAAACAATGCATATCTATGTCTCATTCTGTGCCCAGCGGGGCAAAGGCTGCTGTAGGAGGGGGCTCCGGGGCTCTTCCTGCCCGGTTCGCGGGGACGGGGGTAGCGCTGCCCCTCCGGCGCGGCGGAGGAGGCGGAGGGCGAGCGCCGGGCAGGCCGGGGCGAGCGCCGGAGCTGCTGTCCCCAGGGCGGGATGATGCTGGGAGCTGCAAAGTTGCGTCCGGGCGCGGGTGTTTTCCATGTGCATGTTTTCTGCGTACCTGTTTCCACGCGGGTGTTTTCCGTGTGCATGTTTTCCACGCGGGTGTTTTCCGCGTCCGTGTTTTCCATGCTCGTGGGGAGCTCACGGAGAGACGTGCAGAGGGGCAAACAGAGAACCACGGCGGGCCCGGCACCGTGCCCGTCCCCATCCCTCACATGAGCGGTCTCATCTCAGCCAGCGGCAGCTTTTCCTACTTCACCGCTCCTGTCTTTGGCCTTTCTTCCCAAACCTTTCCTTTATGTTCGGGCTGCCCCTCTGCTCGCTTGTCCCAGGGCACCTCTGGATCTAACTTGCGTTATTCCTACAGACCACGACTAGAGCTATCGGGAGCCCGGCGTGCCGGCTCCTGCTGCCTGCTCTCGGCTTCCCTTTGCCCCCCTCCCCACCACCCACATACTCTGCCGGGGAGGTTTTTTTCCTTTTTTCTCCCTTTCCAGAGGGGTTAAGCGTAYGGAACATTTATGTTTGGCTCTTGCTGTTGTGGTAGCTGCATGTTCATGCTGGCGAGATAACGCAGGGTGCCTGGGCAGGACAGGGATGCGGGTGCTCAGCACCCTGTCCCGGTGGAGCTGGGGGTTTCAAGGCTGGGGCTTTGTCATTTTCAGAGTGTCCTTAGAGTCACCGCAGGCTCTGCAGGAGGGCAGGTTTGTCAGGGCAGCGGGAGCCCAGTCCCGTGTAAAAATCCGTGATTTAGCCCCAGAAAGGAATGCTTAGGGGTTTTCTCCCTCCCCATCCCCAAATTATCTATAGCGTACGCATTGCTTTCATTTCTTATCATAATATTTATTTGTTAAGGCCCTCTCAGTTTCCAGTTCCATTTAAGCCGGAGCCAGAATTGCATTAAAATAGCAAAGTAAAATTCCATCGTGCAGAGACTTGACAGATCCCTGCGGGGAACGAAAGGGGTGGAGTGAGGGGGGAGCCGACGCGGAGCCGGGCCCCGCGCGCCCCGACGGGCCCCGCTCTCCGAGACCGGGCGCAACTTGGCTCCGGGAGGATCGGCCAGCTTTGCCGGGGCCAGAGGTGCCGCTGGCTCCCGCCCCAGGGAAGCGCATGGGGAAAGGAAGGAGTTTTGCAGCCGGTTGCTCCTGGATCCCCGCGTCCCTGGGATGTTCCTTGTGCCCAAAGCCACCCGCTGCTGGGGATGCACCTGCGGCACCAGCGGGGCTCGGGGGTCCTTTTGGAGCCACCTCTGCATTGCTCCCATTGCAGCCCCGGGATGGGGCTCCGGGGCTCCCGTCACATCCGCCACTTCTGTGCCCAGCCCCTCTGCCCTGGCGGGACATGAAATGAAACGCCAGTTCAAAGGGGGCTTTGACGGGGGGCACCCGACGCTCCCGTGTCCCGATGAAAATGGAGAGAACCCCCTTTTTGTCACTTCCAACGGGAGTATAACCCGACACCTCGAGTCTTCCAGTACTGAGATGCATTGCTGTCTCCACATGGCACAGGACCCATTTTTTTCTATTCATTTTATTTTATTTTTTTCTATACTTTTTCCCCTTGCACACTGTCGTGGCCAAGTCATCCATGTAGGAAAAAATAGGCAGGACTAACCTTAACCTTCACTTTGAAAATTATAAGTCCCCAGAGAGAGGCCCGAGGAGAGGCTGCCGGCGGCAAATAACGTGCGCTCTGTCTTGCCGGGCCGGGGGGGCTTCGGCCGGGCCCCCCCGGATTCCGCTGCCGCCTCCTGCCTTTGTTGCTCCCCAAACAGGAACCAAACACGCCCATTTTGAACCAAAACCTCCGCGTTTTGATAAAGCACAAAACCAAGAACAGCAAAAATCCCCCGGCAAACTAACGCGTCTTTTGGCTCGGAGCATCCCACCCTCCGCCAAAAAGCTGCGTCCGAGGGCTTTAAAGTACAAGCAGGGGAGAAATCTTGTGGAAGCCCCTTGAGGGGGCTGCAATATTGGGGACCCCCCCCCCCAAATCCAAGGAAGCACCAAAGGGGGCTGCAATGAGGTCGTGGGAATGGGGCGCTCGAGCTTCCAATGCCGGCAGCTCCATCGACATCTCGCCCTCAACATCCCGGTGCCAGAGCGCATCACAGTGCCGGCAGGATTCTCCTAGCTGGCATGGAATGGGGGGGGGCTCTTAGTCCCCCGCTTCCAAAGCGCTACTGAACTTATAAAGCTTTAATTTGGCGTTAGGGCCGGCTGGAAACTCGGCACCGCTGCCAGGAGCTGCGCGCTGCCCGCCTCRGAAAGGCTGCTCCTATACAGGCCGATATAAAAAGAAAGAGGCAAATCGATTTGGAAAGAAAAGTTGACCTTTTTAGCAAAGAGGGGGGAAAATGACGGCCCTTTGCTTATTTAGGGGTTTCCGGGGCTTTTTTTTTTAATGTTTTTTGCCTCCTTACCTCATCTCCTTCAAATTTGCCTGACCTTCCAGCCTCCGGAGAGGAGCGGTGTGAAAAAGAAGGGAAAAGAAAATAGAAATGAGGAGAGAGCCTCAGTCCGGGTCCTAAAAATAGACGGTGGCTGCGGTATTCCTGGTGTATCCCACTGGGAGCCTGGCGCTCCCAGAGCTGCTCCGCTGCTGCCAGCTCCGGGGCGAGTGCTGGAAAATCCCATCGGCATCAAAAGCGGGATCGGGACAAGGGAAAGGCTCCGGATCCAAACTCCTCTGGCTCCTACTGGGATGAGGATTTTGCTCGTAGAGCGTCATCAGGGACTAGGTTTGGATTCCCCTGGCCTCGGTACCTGCTGCAAGCACCTGCCTCTGTCTGCTGCRATTTTGCTCCAGAGCAAATCCATTTATTTCATGGGTAAACACTGCTTGCAAAGGGAAAAGCTTCCATTTTTTACCCATTTCAGACTTTTTTCTCCCTAACCGACTCCGTTTGAAAGACATCTTTTAAGACGGGCTTTTCTCACCATCTCCAAACACGCTGAAATTGGGATTTTTGCCAAGATAAGAACAGTTCCTTGGGTGTTTGGGTGGGTATTTATTCACTCTTCCCACACACATGCTTTTTTTTCCCCATTTTCCCCGTTTTCCTGCTCCCATAACCTTTCCGAATGTCTCCCACTTTGGAAAAATTACAGAGCAGTGAATTTGGGCTGTTTCCTTTTGCCCTTTAGCTGCCATGTAACCTTTCCAAAGTTGGAGGAATTGCAGAATGGAAAGAAAAAGGGGAAAATAAATGGCAGAAAAGCTCCCCCATGCAGCATTGTTTGGGGCCTCACGCAGCCGCTGCTCATTGTGTTGCTTTGAGAGCAGAGAAGGAAAAAGAGCGTCAAAGAGAAGCAAAAGAAAAAGCCCTAAAACAAAAGTGAGATTTCTGGCAAAACGCTGGGAAAATTCCAAGCGGGAGCGGGCGCGTTGGCGGCGCCCCCRCGGACGGCAGAGGCTGGAAGGGCCTCCCGGGGAGGATGCTGGCGGTCGGTGTGATGAGCGCGCGGGTCTCGGCGGCGCGGCGCGCGGTGACGGCTGTGCCGGGGAGGCGGCGGTGCCCGCGGGCCAGGGCTCGGGGCACACAGCGCATCCGAGCGCGCGGTAAACATTGATCCAGGGTGCCGGCACGTGTGGCTGCCTCCGCCGCGGCCGGCCTCAGGACCCGGCTCCGGAGCGYGGCCTCGCCGGGGGTTGGCGCCCCCGCAGATCCGGTGGGAAGCGCCCCGGCCGGCCCCGGCTTCCCGGGCGTTTTCAGCGCAGTCCCTCTTGGCTCCTGTGCCTAGGGGTGGAAAGCCGTGCCGGAGATGGCGGGAAGCTGGAGGTGGACTGGAGGGGTCAGAGCAGCACAAAGCCCATCGCCCGTGGCTTCGGGGCTGGGAGCCGGCCCCCCAGCCCGGCTCCAGGCTTCCCAACGGATTTTCCCCCCGCAGATGTGGACGAGTGTGTGGAGGGCACCGACAGCTGCCACATCGATGCCATCTGCCAGAACACCCCCCGCTCCTACAAGTGCATCTGCAAGTCTGGCTACAGCGGCGACGGCAAGCACTGCAAAGGTAGGGAAAAGCCCGGAAAAGCCAGGCAGGACAGAGGGAATCTTGGCATCTCCCTCCAGCCCCATGTGCTTGCATCCTGGCACTGCCCTTTGGCACCGTGGCGCTCCAGGTTTGCTGCTTTGCGTGCCTTTGGGGGCCGTCCTTGTCCCCAGGCTTGCGTGCGCGCCCGTGCAATGAGTTCGCAGGCCTCAGCGCGGGCGCCTCTGCCCTCTCGCAGACGTGGACGAGTGTGAGCGCGAGGACAACGCCGGCTGCGTCCACGAGTGCGTCAACATCCCCGGCAACTACCGCTGTACCTGCTACGACGGCTTCCGCCTGGCCCACGACGGCCACAACTGCCTAGGTACGACCGGCGCGGGGACCCCGCGGAGCCCGGGGGCTGCACGGGACGAGGGGGACCCTGCTGGCCTGGGGACAGCGAGCGCCGGTGGCAGGTGGCTCATCCCTGCATCACAGGGGCGGAAYGGGGATGCGCTCGTCCCGGCTTTGCAGCGGATAGAGCCGGGCCCGCGCGGCCGCCCTCGCCTTCGTTAGCGCGGGGTCATTAATGAGCTCATCGCCGGGAGGAAGCGGCGCAGGGGCAGGGATTAGGGCGCATACGCTTTGCATTAGCCGCCGCCACGGGGCCTGCGCAGCCCCCCGGCGCGGGGGGGTTTACACAGCTGGACGGCGCTCCGGGCGGGCGGCCCTGCCTTCCTCTCCCGCGGGAGGATGAGCCCACGGAGAAGAAAGGGAAGCCGGGCTCGGAGCGCGGCCGACGTAATGTGTTTACGGAGTTGCGGCCGCGAAGGCCGGGCGAGGAGGAGGAGGAGGGGGCGCGGGGCACCGCGCAGCGTCTCCCGCTTCGCAGGCGCTTGCTCGGCTCATCCCGCCCGGCTATCGCTGCCGCCTCCGGATCAGAGAGTGTCACGGCCAGGGAGCAGAGCTGAAGCCTGGGTGGCTTTTCTGTACCCTCCTGGTGCCCCCATTCCCATGGATGCATCCTGGAGCGCCCGGCCTCAGCATACTGGAGCCAGAGCACGAGCGGGGCCAGGGCTGGAGTGGAACAGCCCTTCCCGGGCGACCTTTTGAACCGGGCAGGAATCCCAGCACTGGCCCCGCTGCYGAGGCCGGGGGGCTCCCAGCCACCTCTGGCACTTAATAAAACCAGCAGTAGGGCGGTGATGCCGGAGCCGCGCGGCGGGTCTGGAGCGGGAGCCGGAGCCGCGCCGGGAGGCGCTCACACCCTTGTTATGAACGGGGGATTCGGGGACAGCATTCCGGGCTCGGGTGGGATGGAGCTGGGCGCGCTCCAGCTGCCTGCTGCTTCCTGCATCCCGCTGCAAGGTCATGGCTGCGTGCGGAGCATCCCGTGGTGCCCCGGGATGGGGGGCGTTCAGGGAACCCCCTCCTCAGTGCTCCGGTGCTCGCCACTTGCTTTGCTTTACCCGCAGACCTGGACGAGTGCGCCGAGGGCAACGGCGGCTGCCAGCAGACCTGCGTCAACATGATGGGCAGCTACGAGTGCTTCTGCCGCGAGGGCTTCTTCCTCAGCGACAACCAGCACACCTGCATCCAGCGCCCCGAGGGTGCGTGCGCCGGCCCGCGGCCTYTGGTGGTAGCAGGGGGCTTGGGAGGCCTGACTGCCTCCCTCACCTCCACGGAGCAGCAGGGGCTGAGCGCGGCGACCTGGTGGCCGCTTGGGCCCATTTGCCGCCTTCTCTCCCTTCAGAGGGGATGAACTGCATGAACAAGAACCACGGCTGCGCCCACATCTGCCGCGAGACGCCCAAGGGTGGCATCGCCTGCGAGTGCCGCCCGGGCTTCGAGCTCACCAAGAACCAGCGGGATTGCAAGCGTAAGCAGCGCGTGCGTGCGCACGCGGGGCGTYTGCATGCGCACGGGGGGCATCTGCACAGTGCCCTCCACTGCCCCGGCCCGCCAGCGCRCGCAATGTCGCATCCCAAGGCTGGGCACAGCGCTGGGGCCGGCTCCCCCGCCGGGAATTGGGGCTTTCACCATGTCTGCTCTGGGCCAGCGACTCGCTGGCCCTGCCAAGGCAACTGCCACACGGTTAGAGCGCGATCCCCTTGCTTTTCCTTTGCTCCTTACTCGCCATCTGCAGCGAGCCTGTAAAACTGCAGCTGAAATGGGCTGCTGATGCAGCCAGCCCCTGTCCCCTCCCAAAAGCATCACGGACGCGTGGGGGGCAAGGGCAGCACTGCGGCACCCCCGGCCGCGGTGACTGCCCGGCGCTTTGCTCCCRCAGTGACCTGCAACTACGGGAACGGCGGCTGCCAGCACACGTGCGACGACACCGAGCAGGGCCCCAAGTGCGGCTGCCACGTCAAGTTCTTGCTGCACGCGGACGGCGTCACCTGCATAGGTGGGTTCACATTCCCGGCCAGAGCTGCGGCGCCCATGCCTGAAGCGCGTGGTTGCTCGCCGAGCCGCAGGGATGGGGCATTCCCATCCGCGGGAAGGACAGGAGGGATTTTGGGGTGGGAAGGGCGAGGTTTTGGTCTGGCCGTAGGTGCTGGGGCAGCCTGAGCCACGTGCGCTCCCACCGGGCGCTTCCTGCGCGCGCTGCCCTGCTCTGCAGCAAGCGGCTCCCTTGCACTGGTGCCCTGGGGCGCTGCACCCCTGCAGGCAGCAGTGTCTTGTCTCAAAAGCAGTTTCTGGCTCAAAGGCCAGAAAAACATGCAAAAAAAAATCAAACCCACCAGCCTAGCCACCCCCCAAATTGTCCTTTTCCTGTGTGTTTTCAAATTGTAAAACATCAAACAGAGATAGAAGTTTTTACTGGTTTCAGCTGCTCAGGCCACAGAGCAGCTGATTTGATTTAAAAAAATGTTACGTTTGGGGAGTGATTAAGTCCACAAATTGCTTGAGATGTTTTAGTCTTTATTGCAAAATTAAAAAAAAAAAAAAAAAAAAAAAAAAAAAAAGACAAGGGCATTGGAAGCAACTGAGAAGCAGCGGAGAGGTTTTGGGCTCCTCATGCCCCTGCTGTGCCTGAACAGCAAATGCTCCGCGTTTCCCGAAGAGGGTTTCATCCTCCCCTGGAAAAGGGGCTGGAAAAGCGCCTGGAAGAGCCGAGCCCTCGTTGTGGGGATGCTCCAAGGGTTTGTCTGCCCTGAGCCATTGGCTCTGGTGCCAGTCCCAGTCTGTCCCTGGGCAAGTGCTCCCTGCTCTGCTTTTCACTACCTTAACCCCACCGCCGTTGCTGCTCCATGGTGAATCCCATTCCCTGCCTGCTGATGCCCGCGGCCTCCGCTCGCCTCCATGCCCCGGCACGCAGTGAGCCGGGGTGGCTCCGCTTCCTCTCCCTCAAGCAGCCTGTGCCCTTCGGCACTGTCCACACCRCGACCTCTCCACTGGGGCTGCACCGGGGGATTAGCTGGGAAACGGCACCTGGAGCTTCCCAAAGCCACAGGGAGCAGCTTCGCAGAGGGTCGCGGTGCTCCAGGTTACAAAGGAGACAATTCGCCTTGTGGAGCGCCCTGTCCCCAGCCCTGAGATCCTCATCCCGGCCAGGGCTCCGTGCCCGGCGCCCGCTCGCTCCGGGCTCACTCCCGGTGCCGGCCGGGGGCTCCGGCACGCAGGGAACAGTGCGGGATTGTGCCGGCGGCTGCACTCGCCCGGCCTGCAGGGCTGCCCAGCCGGCAGATTTACAGCCCAGCAGCAGGAACCTGCTCAGATTTGTGTAACCGCCCTTTTCCTTTTTTTAATTATTTCTCTATACACTTATATATATTGYGTGTATATCTACACATATAGAGTTTGGTTTTACAGCCAGGGCTCGGCCAGCCTCTCTCCCCRGCTCTGTTTTTCCCTACACGTTTCAGGACAGGGGGGTTAATCTTACAGTTGGGGATGGGCATAGGGTGCGCTGGTCCCGCGGGCCCCGCGCCGGCTCGCTCGGCTGTGGCGGAAGCGCCCCCAGCCCCTCGGAGCCGCAGTTTCATTAGGCCGCGGCCGGGATTTTTTTTTGTTTTGTTGTTTTTGGGGTTTTTTTCTTCATTTTTCCACTTTTTATTGCCGCCTTTAAAAAGGCAGCTAATGAGTAACATGCCTGCGAGCGGCGCGGGGCCAGCCCCATGGCTCCCGCCAGGCCTGCGGGAGCGAGCAGGAGGGAGGCCGCCGGGGAGGCCGATGACCCCATGTATTTATATTTGYGCACTAAAAGCAGCCTTTTTAAGGGAAAAGGGAAAAAAAAAAGAACCAAGAAAGGACAAGAGAAAAAATGTCCTCTGCATTAGAGCCATCCGCAAGGCCCCGCGGCTCCAAACCTTCCCACCTGACTCCATCCATGGAGCAAGCACCCGGTGCCAACCCGCTTCCCTGCACCGTGGCATTCCCAATCCTAGGGCTTTGCACCCTGGATGGAGCAGGATGCAGCCGGGGGTGGACAGCAGCCGGCTCTGCGGGAGCCTCTGGCTTTTCCGGGGCCATGCGCCCTTTCTAAATGTCGTTTTTTGTAATGTCAAGCAGGGGAGCGACACTTCCAGCAACATGTTCTCCTTGAGACGTTTTCTAATGGTAAATATTCCCGTTCTCGCCGTGTCTCTGGAGGGCTCCTAACMCGCAGGCGGCCGTGCCCGTCGGGCCGAGCGCGCCCACTAACCGCATGCCTTGCTCCGCGCTGCGGGAGGGAGCAGGGCCGTGCTCCAGGCTCCCGCGCGGCACCGTGCTGGCTGCTCCGGCACCCGCTGCTCTTCCCCTGGAGGCGACAGGATGCAGGTGCCCGGCTCCTGCCAGAGGACCCTGGTCCTCACGAGGAGATGCAAGCGCCTGGGGCAGGATGGGCTGAGCCATGTGCTATCCAGGTGCAGCTCGCTCCGGGTCATCCCCCAGCCAGCAGGAAGGAGGGGAAATACCAGGATGCAGCGGCCTTGCCCCCATTCTGAGGAACTCGGGCTGCAGGAGCTGTGCTGCAAGCAGGGAAGCTCATCTGGGGTTGTGCCAGGGAGGTGCAACCTTATAGCTCGACCGGGATGAGCCGGGAGCTCTCTGCACTGCGGGACGCCCTGGCTGCTCTGGGAGTGCTGCTGGGGGCTCCGCTTGTCCTCAGGGATTTGCAGGCGGCTTTGCAAGGAGGAGGCAGGATTTAGGCTGGTGCAGGGGTGGGGGACTTGAAGCTGCTCTGGGAACACCAGTGCTCAGCAGGTGTGCATTCAGGGATTCCCAGGACCAAGCTGGGAGCAAGTGTGTGCACGCACGCCGGGGGACGCCCCGGCAAATCCGCTTGGATCCAGCGCTTGCAAACCCCGGGCGCCACTTTGCAGCGGAGGCTGCRCTTGGCTGCACCAGCGCAGTGCCCCGTGCGTCCTGAATCCACAGAGGTGCTCGGGGCACTCGGCCCCGTCGCGTTTGCCCGTGGGGGCTGCGCTTTGCAACAGGGCTGGCGCTGAAATCACAGGGAAAAGAATTAAAACCCAGGCCTCTTTGTTCTGCCATTAYGGGACATCGTATAAATAGCAGCCGCGAGGCGAGCACAGGACGATCCCGGCCCCGGCAGCGCGTGCTTGCAGCCTCTAGTCACTGGTGCCCCACACGGCTCCCGCGAAGGGCGCGAGAACCTGGGATTTGCTCTTTCCAAGGAATTTTCTTCAAGGCATTTCCCGGCGGGCTCCTTGAAGCGCCGGCGCCCGCTCCGCCAAGCGAGCGGCGACGCTTTATTGCCCTTTGTGAACAACTTAATGCTCCCCGGGCCATTGTTCTGGCGCGCGGGACCAGCGCCGCAGAGGGATCTCCCAGGGCAGCCGTCAAGCCGAAAATGCCTCATTTACTCGAGTGGCCCTTCTCGGCCTGCCAGCCACAGCTGACTTTGATAATGCTGAAATAATTAGCTTTTTTTCCCCCTTAATTGGCCTTTTTTTTTTTTTTTTTTTGATTTTTTCTTTTCTCTTCCCACTGGTGCACCCCCCATGCATGTGTGCGCGTGTGTCCTTGTTTTGCAAAGCAGCTCCCAAATAATTCGCCCTCCACACAGCTCCCACGTGCTGGCAGTGCAGGGGTGAGGAAGGGCCGGATTCACTCCCGCTTCCCAAGAGGGCTCGGGAACTGCTTGCCTTTGCACGAGCCTCTCTCCAGCCTTGGGTTTAGGTCCCCAAATCCCAAAGCTTTTTTTTTTTTTTTTTTTTTTGTGCTTTCTGTGTTTTTTTCCCAGCACATTTGGGAATTCTGCCTCCTTGCCCAGTGTGCTGCCCGCAATTCCTGCATGACAGCTGGGGAACCACATCCCAAATCCTCTCCTGGGAGTTTATCAGATCAGCTTGTATTTTCAGTAAGGGGTGGAAGAGCCGGTGCGCTTCCTGCTGCCCTTCCAGCCTGCCCGGCTCTCGCTCGGGACGTCTGCGAGGCAGGGGAGAGTGGCTGGGTGCAAGCGGGAGGGCTGCGAGCTGGGCTGGGATGAAGATGTGGGCGCTTTTCCAAGCCCTTTTTGCCTCCAGAAAGGGTTTTTGCAAGCCCTTTTTGCAAAGCCAGAGGAATCGGGTGCTTTCCAGGTCCAGTGGAGAGCTGCTGCGCAGCCGCAGCGCCGGAGACGCCGCGGGGCCCGGGGCGGGTGACGGTGGGTGATGACGGGGGGCCCGCAGGCGGCTCACGCGCCCGTCCTCTCCCTGTGCACACAGAGACGTGCGCCGTGAACAACGGGGGCTGCGACAGCAAGTGCCACGACGCGGCTGCCGGCGTCCACTGCAGCTGCCCCATGGGCTTCATGCTGCAGCCCGACCGCAAGACGTGCAAAGGTGAGCACGGCGCGAGCGCGGCCCTTCGGGAGCGCCGCCGGACGCCGCGGAAAGCCGGAGCTGCCGGCGGGGCCGGCGCCTTCCTGCACAATGCTGCGCCGGGAGTGAAGCCCCCCGAGGCGCCCGCGTGCAGGGGTGTCCTGGGCGGCCGGCGCCTGCGTTTCGTCTTTCGGCACCTCTGGGAACTTGACCCCGCTTGAAAGGCGAGTGCTGAAAGCTCCGGCTGCCCTGACGGACTCCAGAGCCCCTGCCCCTTAGGATGGGGGGATTTCGAGCTGTCGCTTCTGCCRTTTCCAGGCAAGCGCCGTAACCCTGAGCCGCAGCCCTGCGGCTGCTGCGCCTTTATTGCCCCTGCGAGCTGTGTTTATGGCTACAGAGCTCGCAAGAGTAGAGGAAAATCCCAGCCCGGGATGGGGGCAGCTCAGAAACGGCTCCTCTTGCTGGGCTCCATCCACTGCACAGGCCATTTCCTAGCAGTAAATCTTCCCATTAGTAGGGAGAAAAATAGTAATAAAAGAAAAATGATTCCTCTGTGAGCTTTTTTGCAGGCTCCTGGGGCTCTTTGTAGATCTTGGGGCATCCTTTTAGCTGGGTTTGTGGCAAGAAAATAAGGACGAGGAGGTGAGGCTGGAAAATTGCTTATGCCCTCGAGCCGCTGGGTGAGGTGGTTTCTGCTCCCGGTTTGCTCCTTTTTCCCTAGTGCTCCGGGTCCTTGTGACTCCGCAGAATCCCACTCACCTCCCTCGGAGGTGGCACGTGGTCCTGGAGGCGGGGAGCAGCGGGAAGGAGCACAGGAATCGCGGCATTGCCCCGGGGCTGGGGTGGCACCTCCGTCCCCAGCGGCAGCAGCGGCCGGCTCGGGTGGGGACATGGCATTAGGGCCACGTCCCCCCGGGAGCTCCCCGGAGCCTGACGGGCACCCACGTCCCCGCAGACATCGACGAGTGCCGGCTCGGCAACGGCGGCTGCGACCACATCTGCCGCAACACGGTGGGCAGCTTCGAGTGCAGCTGCAGGAAGGGCTACAAGCTGCTCATCAACGAGAGGAGCTGCCAAGGTACCACCGGGCGCCGCCGCGTTCGTGCCGCGCTGGTGCCAGCTCCACATGTGGGCGCGTTCTGCAGACCTCCCGGGCCTCCCTTTGGCGGGTGGAGGAACACGAGGCTGCTCAGTCACCAGTTTTTGCTCCCCTTGGGGGGAAAAAGGGCTTCTTGGCAGATCCTTGGGGATTAGTGCAGGATTTGGGTCCCGGGCCAGGGCTGCTCGCTTTGATGTGCAGAGCTGGGCCCGGCCCGGCTCCCATCGCGGCAATGCCGGGATCTTCTTGCAGCAGCTTATCCACATGCYGGGCCTGCCAGGTGGAATTGGCCTTCTCTGGGTCTCCAGTGCTGGGAATACGGCCCCCACATGTCCTGGGAGCCGGCTGGCTTCCCGCTTGGGAAGAGTGGCAGGATGTGCCCTGCCTTGTCTCTGCCCTTCCTGGGAAACTTCCCCTTGCCAGCCCTGCATTCCTGGTGCGGGAACAGGGGCTTCCTCCATGGGCCCGTTGGATTGGGGGCTTTTCCGAGGGTTTCCGCTCTCCCTCTTTCCCCTCCGTGCCGCTGAGCGGCGGGCAGGGGGGCCGGGTGCGGGTAGCGGCCCGGGCGCCGGCGCTCGCTGCTCTTTCCGCCTTGTGCCCATCCCCTGCGCCCTGGCAGACATCGACGAGTGCTCCTTCGACCGCACCTGCGACCACCTCTGCATCAACACGCCCGGCAGCTTCCAGTGCCTCTGCAACGAGGGCTACACGCTCTACGGCCTCACGCACTGYGGAGGTAGGGCCGGGGCGGCCCCGCGTGCGGCCAGGGGGGAGCCGGGAGCGCTGGGAATCATAGAATGGGAGCCACAGCGGGACCCCCTCGTGATTGCACGAGACACGTGGCCATCCCCCCAGCCGGAGCAGCCCCGGTGCCTGCAGGGATGCTCCTGGTGCCTGCAATGGGAAAATGGGAAGGGACCTCCTGGGCTTCCCAGCTCTGTGGAGAGGCTCCCTGGCATCGCTGCCGCGCTCCGCTCTGGCTGCATCGGGGGCTCAGGGACGAGCACCGGGCTGGGTGGCCGCCGGGCCCGAGGCCTCTCGGCGCCCCTCGCCCACCGCCCGCCGCCCCCTCCCGCAGATGTGGATGAGTGCAGCGTCAACCGCGGCGGCTGCAAGTTCGGCTGCGTCAACGAGCCCGGCGGCTACCGCTGCACCTGCCCCGCTGGCTGCAAGCTGCACTGGAACAAGAAGGACTGCGTGGGTATGTTGGCACAGGGTCCCTGCTCCCGGCGTGCCCAGCAGGTCCTGTTGGTGGAGCAGGGCATTCCAGGGCATCCCGTGCCCTCCGGGGCTGCTTTAACCCTTGGGATCCCCTGCCACTTGTTCATGGATCCGCATGTGACGTGTGATGCTCTTCCCRTGTTCTCTCAGCCCTGGCACCTTTCACCGTGCTGGGGGCTGATCCGCTTGGGCAGAGCCCAATTTGGCCCTTTTCACCCCAACAAATGCCAGCGCCCCCATCTCCAGCGGGGGTGGGCAGGCAGCCGGGGGGTCCCTCAGCGCTCGGCGCCTGCCCGCTAGGTTCGGTGCCACCGCGGGCCACGCTCACGTGCAACAAGACGGGCAAGAAGGAGAGCTGCGCCCTCACCTGCGCCTCCAGGGCCCGCTTCTCGCCAGGTAGGGGCCCGGCGGCTCCGCGGCCTCCCCGGGGCCCAGGGCGCCGCTGAGCGCCGCGTGTCCCTGTGCCCGCAGAGTCGGAGAGCAGCTACTCGCTGAGCTGCGGCACGCCGGTGCCGCGCGCCGCCAACGGCAGCCAGCCCTGTGCCGGTAAGTGCGGCGCGCCGGGACGGGGCGGCGCGGTGGGACCCACAACACTCAGCCCGCGCCGCCCGTCCCCGCAGAGACGGTGGCCGGCGCGCTGCCCGTCAGGCAGAAGGCCTCCTTCAAGATCAAGGACGCCAAGTGCCACCTGCACCCGCGCGCCAAGGGCAGGCAGGAGGAGGCGGGCAAGGCGGCGGCAGGTGAGGGGGGGCGCAGGCGGCTCGGGCGGGCGGCGCGGGCACGGGCTCAGCACCACCTCGGCCTTTGCAGGCGCGGCGTCCTGCTCCGACTGCCACGTGGCCTTCGTGCACCTCAAGTGCGACTCCTCCAAGAAGGGCAAGGGCCGCCGCGCCCGCAACTCGGCCGCCAAGGAGGTCACCCGCATCACGCTCGAGTTCGAGGCCGAGATCAAGGCGGAGGAGGCCACAGGTGGGCACAGGGCTGCCCTACGCCCTGCGGCGGCTGCGGGGCCGCCCGCTCCCTCCGCTAACGCTCCCGTGTCCCTCCCGCAGCCGGCTGCAACCTCCACTGCCTGCGGCAGCGGGTGGAGAAGAAGCTCAAGGCGGCCATCAAGGCACTCAAGAAGTCCATCAACCAGGAGCGCTTCCTGCTGCGCTTCGCTGGCATGGAGTACGAGGTGGCGCGCAAGCTGAGCGGGGCGCCCGCGCGGCACGAGAGCTGCGGGCCTGGCCAGCAGCGCCTGGGCGCCAAGTGTGGTAAGGGACCGCGTGGCCGTGTCCCCCGCACGCCCTCCGGCCACTGCCAACGCCGACGCCGCCTCCTGTTTCTCAGTTAGCTGCTCGCAGGGAACCTACTACCACGGGCAGACGGAGCAGTGCGTGCCCTGCCCGCCCGGCACCTACCAGGAGAGGGAAGGGCAGCTCTCGTGTGACCTGTGTCCCCGCAGCGACGCCCTCGGCCCGGCCGGAGCCACCAACATCACGGGCTGCACCGGTACCGGGGCGAGGACGGGCTGGGAAGGGCGCGCGAGGCAGGGACACGGGGACGGGTGGCCCAACCCCACATTATCCGGGCACCACCGAGGGCAAAGCTTGGACGCAACCCCGTGCCACATGCTCTAGGGGACCCTGCATGTGCAGGGGGGTTGCACTAGATGACCTCTGAGGTCCCTTCCAACCTTAGGCATTCTATGATTCYAAAGCTGCCCCAGCAGGTGCCCTGGTGGATGGAGCGGGATGTGGGAGGCTGTGCCCGGGTGTCCCGGTTGAGCCTGTGGGCAGGGAACAGCTCCAAGGAGGGAAGGGGCCGGGTGCAGGCARCCGGTCGGGCGCTGGTGCCGCACACTGACTGGGGCGTCCTGCAGGCCGCTGTCCCCCTGGGCAGCACTCGGCCGACGGCTTCCAGCCCTGCCAGCCGTGTCCGCGCGGCTCCTACCAGCCCGAGGGCGGCCGCGCGCTCTGCTTCCCGTGCGGCGGCGGCCTCAGCACCAGGCACGAGGGCGCCGTCTCCTTCCAGGACTGCGACACCAAAGGTAGGGGCGCCTCCGCGGTGGCTGCCGCCCGGGCCCGGGCGCCGGGGGCTCACGGTGCCGTCGGCTCTGCGCCCGCAGTGCAGTGCTCGCCCGGGCACTACTACAACACCAGCGTGCACCGCTGCATCCGCTGCGCCCTGGGCACCTACCAGCCCGACTTCCGCCAGAACCACTGCGTCGCCTGCCCCGGCAACACCACCACCGACTTCGACGGCTCCACCTCCGTGTCCCAGTGCAAAAGTAGGAAACGGGCCCTTTGAGGGGCCTTGGGGTGGCTCCGTGCTTTGGGGCAGGCGCCGGGGTGGCCGCACGACCCCGTGTGCCCGGTGGGAGCCGCTGTGAGCTCTCCTGCTTTGCAGACCGCCAGTGTGGAGGGGAGCTGGGTGAGTACACGGGCTACATCGAGTCACCCAACTACCCGGGCAACTACCCGGCCAACGTGGAATGCACCTGGAACATCAACCCGCCGCCCAAGCGCAAGATCCTCATCGTGGTCCCGGAGATCTTCCTGCCATCCGAGGATGAGTGCGGGGACGTCTTGGTGATGCGGAAAAACTGTAGGTAACCGAGCGCTTCGGGGTGCTCGCGGGAGAAGGCAGGGGAGGAAAAAGCCATGGGGCGAAGGGAATGAAAAGCCCCGTCCCCGGGTGCTCTGCGTGTGTTTGTGTGAGACGGAGCGACCGGCATTGYTGTCCTTGTGCTGGTGTCAGTGTCACCTTCCCTCCCCAGCACCCACCAGACATGGAGGGGTCACTGAGCTGCCTTACACTTGTGTTGCTGCCTTCTTGGGGCTTCAGGTCTCCTTGTTTGGGCTTAGAAGCCCAGTTTGGAGCAGCRGAGCAGCAGTGGAGTCGCAAAGCCCTCAGTATCTAATAGGCGGGCTAGAAAAGTTCAGCCGCTCTGACCACCGGCCTCTCTGGGTCCCCGGTTTTCTTCTTGTGCCCCTTGCTCTAAACATTTAAACACAGGGCTGGTGGTAGCGGGAGTCCCCCCGCTGGTGGCATCACAGGGTCCCCACGGTTGCCCTTGCAGCCTCCCCCTCCTCCATCACCACCTACGAGACGTGCCAGACGTACGAGAGGCCCATCGCCTTCACGGCCCGCTCGCGCAAGCTGTGGATCAACTTCAAAACCAGTGAGGCCAACAGCGCCCGCGGCTTCCAGATCCCCTACGTCACCTACGATGGTGAGTAGGCACCCGGGTTGTCCCAGCTCGGGTCTCCTGGGGGAACATACGGCCACCCGACCGGGCCAAGCAAGTGTCCCCAGGGCCAGCAGCTCGTGCCCTGACTCGATTTCTCATCGTTGCAGAGGACTACGAGCAGCTGGTGGAGGACATCGTGCGGGACGGCAGGTTATACGCCTCCGAGAAYCACCAGGAGATACTCAAGGTGAGTGTCCCTACATGGCCCTGGACTCTCCTGGCCAAGGAGCGGCGCTTGGGTCTTTGCACGGTCCATGATCACCATCCCACAGCCAGCTTTGCTCTGGACTTGGCCCAGGGATCCTGCATGGATTCGTTGCAGGGCTTTGGGACCATCTGCTCTGACAACTGGAGTGGGAGCGGGGAGGGATGGGAGCGCCTGGGTCTGGGTCTTGAGGGAAGGCTCGTCCATGGGGCGCGCTGCRGCTCGCGGTGACTGGCTGCTCCGCTTGCCTCCAGGACAAGAAGCTCATCAAAGCTTTCTTCGACGTGCTGGCGCACCCCCAAAACTACTTCAAGTACACGGAGAAACACAAGGAGATGCTGCCGCGCTCGTTCATCAAGCTCCTCCGCTCCAAAGTCTCCAGCTTCCTCAGGCCTTACAAATAGCCCTCTGCACCCACCGCCTCCCAGGCCACCCTCCATGCAAGGAAACGTTCTTCTCCCTCCTTTCTTATTTCCTTTTTTCTCTTTCCTCCTCCTTGGCTTTGGAAACCAGCAGGACCGCCAGGTCTTGCTCCGCAGATGCCTCCACTCGGTTTCTCCTCTGCTGCCTCCGGCCCTGCCCCAGCAAAGCCAGGGCTTGGCGAGGCCGTGCTGGCCTCCGCCAGCCGCGCTGCCAGCGCGGGGACGGCCCTTGCTCCAGGGAAACCCGGCCTCTYGAAGCAGCTTCATCATTTCAGCAAACCCGAGTGCCGCCGCCTGCGCTGGTGCCAGCCTGGCCTTTCGGTTGCCCTTTGCATTATCCGCCACTTCCTCCTCGCGTCCGCACCACATCTGTCTCCGTTCCTAGATGCCAGCAGCGTGTCCACATCCCCGCGCCCACGGGACGTGGCCGGGCTCGTTTGGCCGCCCGCACGCGGGGCCGGCGGCAGCCGGACCCAGCAGCTCCGCGGGGCGGGCGAGCGCGGTCCGGGCAGCAGAAGGTAGCGCCACGTTTGTCGTGGCCCGCAGGGCTCCGGCAGCGGCGCGGCTTTGCAGAGACCGGGCAGAGAAGATGCATACTTTGTTGAAAAGAAAACAAAGAAGACAAAGGATATTTAAATAATAATTAAAAAAAAAGAGATAAAGGACGGAATGCGCGACAGCAGCCGAGCGGCGGCGGCGGCGGTGGCCGTCCCTCCGGAGAGCCGGGCTGGCGCTCCGCGTTTGGAGGCGAGCGCGGCCAAGCCACGTTCCCGGAGAACAATGTCTGGCTACACGGGAGAAAACATGGAATGAACGGGAGCGACTTTCAGCCAGGCTCATTCTTGTCCCCTAACAAACACGTGTGCCAAGAACCCAAGACTTTCTTACAAGCTCTGCCAAAGAGTAACTCGTTGACAGGAAAGCAAGCTTCGTGAAGACCAGGAGTAAATGTTTGTGCACTAGGATATTCTCCTTTCTACCTTTTTCGTATGTATTAAGTGCAATCATTTGAGTCTCCTTTATATTATTTAGAGGGAAGGTTTTTTTCTACTAGAAACTACCATATTTATACCTGCCTGAGAAGTGGGAAGGGGTGTTTGTAACAAAAACACCCAGCCAAACACAGCTCTGGATCGATGGCGACCGGCGTGGTGCTGTTCTCCGACCTTGGAATCCTTTCTGCCGATGCTTGTCCCTGGTGCCACATGCTTGGGGTGGAGAGGAAGAGGAGCCGCTGCGGGCGGCGCCGTTTAGCCGTGCCGACGGGCGGCGAGCGGGCGCYTCCGATCCCGGCTGCGAGGTACGGATCAGGCTGGGGAGGAGCCCCCGGCCGCACGTGGCCCCGTTCCCTGCGTCGGGCAACCTGGGGTTTTGTTAATGCGTTGGAAGAGACGCTGGAGGCTGGAAGCGCAGTGAGCCGGAGTGCGGTGCCACGGCTGGAATGCCTGGGCCAGCCAAGGCGGGAGCCGGGAGCGGCTCCGCGCAGCCGGCCCCGAGCAGCTCCGGCYGCCGCAGCTGACACCCCTGGAGCGCCCGGATTTTCCTGGCTGCGGTGCCTTGGCCCCGGGAACCCAGTGGGGCTGCCGGGACCCTGCCGGCTTCCCTTTCATTCCCGCCCACCTTTCCCAAGCGCCGCAGGCGGGAGCCGAGGGCCCGCTGGGGCCAGCGGGYGGGCGAGCGCTGCAGACGGGTTTGTCCCCCGGCATCGTCCCCTGGCGCCCGGCCACAGAGGGCACCTGGGGACAAGGCCCCCCTTCATTCCCCTCCTCCTCCTCCTCCTCAGGCTCCCCAGACCTCGCTGCCTTTCCCACCCTCCCGTCGGCTCTTGGCCGTCATCTCCCCTCGCGGCGCTTGCGACTTCATCCCTGTCTTGCTCCTCTAAAGGTCSTGGAGCTGTCGGGAGTCAGTGTGGTCGACTCATGGCTTCTCTGCTTGTGCTTCCCTCCCTTCCATCCCTGTCCCCGCCTGTCTCGGGCTGTCCTTCACACGCCTCTGGGACGAGCGCTGCTCCGCGGGAGCCCGTAATGAACGCTTATTTATTGCTTTGCCCGTTCCCGACCWTATCCCACTCTTTTGGGGCCCTAGCTCAGCCCTTGCTGCCACGGGGAGCAGCCGCTTTCCCCCCRCGAGCGGCTTCTGGGCCCCATTAGGAACTGGGACTGGGTTGGGGCTGGCAGCTCGTGCTGGGCTTGGGCCCCCAGCCGCGTTCGCTGGGACCGTCTGCGCTGATTGGGAGCAGCTGTGGAGCTGGTTACCCGTCCCGCGCCCGGCTCCAGGCCCGGGGCGGCTCCGCAGCTGGGGGCCGACATGGTTGTCGCTTGCTTGGTGTCTGCAAGCAGCGGCTTTGATGCACAAGGGCTGCTGCAGGGATTTGGGAGGGGGGTTTATTGCTCTGGGGCAGCTGCAGCAGGGCAGCGACCGCTGAAAGGCTCTTTCCCATGCAGACAGATCGGAGCGGACGGAGGAGCCCCGCGAGGGGACGCGGAGCGGTTCCTCCGTCCTGCCGTGGTGGGTGCGGGTGCCGCGGCTGCTGCCGGCCCCGCGCSGCTCGGCCAGGCRTGGAGGCCCCGCCGGTGCCACGCRGGTCGGCCTCCTACTCCTTGGGTCCTTCCCGGGCTCTTTCCTACCGCTCTGTTCCCAGAAAATCCTCCTTTTGCAGCCACGTGGCTGGAAGACGCAGGAGGTTGCAGCCCGAGGGAAGTGCTGCTCGGCCCACACAGTCGTCGCGCTTTGGCTACCACGTGGTCACCCTTTGGCTACCACGCTGTCCCCAGGGCTCCCCAGGGTGCCCGGCCTGCAACGCAGCCTCCCRCTACCACCACCCCAATCCAAGAACCTTTTCCCTCCTTTCACTACCACTCTCATAAAAACGCAGCTTAAAAAATTCATGGGGCCTTCRGAAAGCGCCCCTGCAGTTAAATCCATCTCCCTTCCCCCTCTGCGAGACTTGGAAAAGGTTTCAAAGGCTGAAAAGAGCATCAGCCGCCTCTGTGCTGTACAGGATTGTTTCAGCGTAGGAAGCATAACTGAGGGTGGCTCTTTTTCATGTTGGAATATTTATATCTGCCTTTTGCAGCGGGCCACCACTTACCATCTCCAGCAAAATGATTCAAGTCATGGGAACGATGTAGTTCATAAAGTTATTTGCACTTGATTAAAAAAATGTATCTGAACTTTGTAAAAAGAAATGTTTGCATTTTGTATTGTCTTTTTTTAATTATTAAATGGAATTTCTTGGTGTTGTGTTGGTCTTTCAGAAACAGGCTGTGGCGTTTATGCTCAGGGTTCCCAACACAGGATCCCCAGCTCTTTTCCTTGTTTTGAGCCTGCACAGGCCCACTGTTGCCCCAGTCGCTGCACGATGGGTTTACCATCTTCATTTGCAGGATGCTGCAGATCTCGTTGCTGGAGGCCCCAGCAGCCCCTGGAGCTGCCGCTGCAGCCTGGGCAGAGGAGCAGGGGCAGCGGCCGGGACGGCCCCACGTCCTCTGCACCCGCCTTGCAAAGCTTCAGCTTTGGGCACCAGCCCCAGCTTTACCCCGTCTAGAAGGTCCAACAGGGCTGCTCCCGCTCCGGCCCTGAGCGCAGGRCAGGTGGATGGGTTTTGCCCCATGTCAGGAATGGGCCTTTCTTTGGGGCCAGTCTGGGGGCTCAGTTAAGCTCGTCCCCCTCATCCCTTCCCACTCACCAGCTTTCCTGCTCTATGGACCCGAGCAGCTCTGCCCACGCGCCTCCCCTCCCAAGCGGCTCAGGAGAAGCACAACCACGTGCCCGGCTGTAGGTAGCCTAAAAGTTTATTGTGGCCTGGCTAGTAGAGGCGCTGGGGCTTGCCCATGGTGCTCTTGATGTAGAGCGCGCGCACGTTCTGCCAGTTCTTCTTCAGCAGTGACACCAGGAAGTTGATGGCCAGGTGGATGTTGTAGACGAGCTCGTCCTCGGTCATCTTCACGTGGCCGACGGCCACGGCCAGGCAGAGCACCTGGTGACAGGGACAGAGCGTCACTCACAGCTAGAGGCGGCGCAGGGAAGCAGAACCTCTGCCCAGGGATCTGTCTGCTCAGGGTGCACAGTCAGCACTGCTGGAGCTTCTCCTTGGACCAGATCCCTTAACTTGAAGGCACACTTGAAGACACAGAGCTTGAGACCCAYTACAGCCAGCACAGACTCTTATTTAACTTCCCAAATGCCGTAGCTCCCTTAGGAGAAGCCCRTTCCAGACCTCAGCCCCGCGCTCCGCCAGCCTCCCGTGCCTGCCCCAGCGGACCCGCTCCTCCGGAGCGCTCCCATGACCGCGCACAGCAGCAGCTGGATGGAGCCCTCAGCAGCAGCTCGCACGGGTCCCACTTCCTCTGCGCACAGGTGACCCGAGGCAGGGAGCGTCGCTGCCACCGGACAGGAAACGCAGCAGGGATGTGCAATTCCATTGAGCAGATCTCTGTTTTCATTCTGCTCCCTGTCCCGTTCGTTAGGCAGCCCTGGCAGGTGCGCTGCAAACCACCACCCAGCTCCTACAAACCAGCGGCTCCAGACCTGGCTGCCGAACGCCACGCCAGCTCCGCTCGCGCTGGCACCAGCCGCCGCTGCCCTGCAACGCGACCCAGGACGCAGCGTTCCCGAGGGAAGCGCCAGGCAGTCCCAGCTCAGCCAGGGAGCCACGGAGGCGCCGGGCAGCTCTCGAGCTCGCCGTGCCCTTGTGGTTGCTGTGTCCTCGGCCCAGAGCGGTAGGAGCCCAGGGATGCTCCTCGCTTGGCAGAGCTGTTAATTCCGGAAAACTCCCAGCCCCAGAGGCCTGGGCAGGATTCCTTTGGTTCAAGGCAGGCTGCTCTGTGACCCGCTCCCTGCAGCCCTTAATGTGCGCGCGCAGCCCTTGGCGCCGGGGTGGGTTCAGGCTCTCCACCCACTCGCTGTGACGAGTGCTAAYTGCAACCGACTGCGCTCAACATCGAGACACACTCGGCATCTGCTCCAAGATCTTTCAGCTACCAATAAATTATTCCTCTTTTGCAGTTACGAGCCCAACACTGGTTACTGTGTCCCCTTGCAGCATAGAAGGGCCCTGGGACTCATCCCTGGTTGTTGCAGAACCTGCAGGGACACCTAKAGCCCGGAGCAGGGAATGCAACAGCACAGCAAGGCCCCAGGAACGGGGCTGTTCCGAAGCCAAAGCGCCCTGTTCATTTACCTTCTTCATCTGAAACTTGATGGTGGACTTGACCTCGTCAACCTTGGCCACCAGGTTCTCATTGTGAGTGAGGAGAGAAGGGAACTTGCCAGCCTTGTTCAGGCCTGGGCCCAGGATACGAGGGATCTGCTTGATCAAGGACTCCGAGGCCAGGAAGGCATCGTACTTCTTGGCTGCAAGGAGACAGCGCAGGCAGGTGAGGGAGCGCTCCAGGCACTGCTGCTCCGTCTCCTCGCACCCKGACCCGTGCGAGCACCCGCTCCTGCCACCCCAGCCACGTCCGCCAGCAGCCCCGTGCACCTACCAGATGTCCCTTATTGCTCCTGAAGTGTTTGCTGAGTCCCATGCACTTACTGAACACCCGTTACTTCTCTTCAGTATTTGCTGTACTATGGTTAAAACTCAATCTGAGACCCACCAGGGCCTTCTGCCCTATGCCTGCACAAGCACASAGGCATCACCATTATACTGGTGCACTTACAACTCCCTAATTCATCCGGATTCAGTGGGAAGCTTTCCTTGTCTGCAAGGAGCTGGATTTGCAGGAAGGGAATGATTTCTATTACTTTCTATTCTGTGATTTCTTTCTATTATTTCTAAGTGAAAATAAGCAAATGTCATTTAGTTTAAGTCGTGCAGCATTAAGTTGCAATGGATTTTTGCTTCTACTTCTATTTGGCCTTTACTGCTCTCTCTCTGGGCAGGATAATAAAGAACACCTACGGGTGAAACTCTGAGGGAAAAGGGGCAGTTTTCCTTTGTCTGTCCTTGCTGGAAAGGGCTGTCACTATTTCCTGACTCCCTTCAGTGTTGACCTGTCAGCCAGCTCTTTTAAACCAGGCTGTTCTCCTGAGTACTTTCTACACCGATTCTGATAGTGAAGACCAACTATGGCTGGTTTCCTTTATCTCGCAGTTACCCATAATGGGAAAACCTGAGCGTGGGGAGCAGCAGCGCTGAACACTCGCCCCCTTTTCCCGCTCATGCCACCAGCAAGCCCCCCCTTGACTCACCCAGCTTCTTCACCAGCTTCTTGTTCTTGTTGAGCTTCTTGAGCGCCTCTATGTCCATGTGCGGGATGTCCACGGCCTTGGCCTCATCGCAGTGCTGCTGGTCGCCCAGCAGGCACACGGAGAACTTGGGCCGCGGCGTGGACTTGAGCCTGCGGGACGAGCGGCGCTGAGCGGCGGCCGCGGCCCCGCGCCCCGGGCGCCCGCGCGCCCGCCTTACCGCGCTGCGGCMGGCCCGCCCGCCCGCGGGCCGGTGCGGAGGGCGCCGCGGCCGCCCCGCACCTCCCCTCATGTTTTGGGACCCAGGGTGGGGGTCCGGCCGGAGGGCGCGGCGCGGCCCAACCTGACGGTGCCGGAGAAGCGCTTGTCTTTCTGCGGGTCGTAGTTCTTCAGGCTGATCTGCAGCTCCACGGTCTCCACAAACCTGCGCGGAGAGGAGGCGCTCGCGCCGGGCCGGGTCGGGCCGGGCCGGGCCGGCGCCCCGCGGGCTCTTACTTGCGCCGCTTGGTCTTGCTCCCCTGCAGCACCTCCTTGACCGCCTCGTACAGGGTGTCGCGGGACACTTTGCTGCTGCGGGGGGCAAAGGCCGGGCGCCATCAGGCCCCATGGGGCGGAAGCGCCGC